TACCGCGTAAACCTTGATCGTTGGATTCTTGAACATAATCGGTTGTGGAAAGGGCTGACCGAGATTCAGCCTTAAGATCAGCTTCGTTAGTGGTTGGGCCCACTTGAATTTCTTGCGCAATTACAGGTCCACTGGGCTGCCTTTTTCTCGTCGCTTCGAAGTTTTGGAGGAACATCTTGGGATCGTACTTTTGATTTCCACCAAAACGACTGGACGAATCCGCCACTACCTTGGATGTTTGACGCACTTTCCTATTTTCAATACTTTGGGAATCTTTTGTATTAGCAGGTGGCAAACATCGCTTTGAACTTCTTGCTTTATCATTAGTCTGCCTGGCCGAAGCTTTCGGCTTTGGTTGAAGGACAGAAACGTTTAATGCATTGATCCTCTTTCCCTTGGTCGAGCGCGTTACCGCTGCAAACTTTTTACAACGCTTGACGACTTTTGCTGGTTTTGAATTCGCTGTCTCTGTTGTTTCCTTGGTTCCCCGTTTGATGCCTTCTGATGGCTTTGAATTTGTCGTCTTTGTCGTTTTCTTAGCACTCGCAGGACGTGCTTCTTGGTACTCGAAAAATGTATCACAGGTAGGACATTTTAAGATAGCCGTTTTTTTGGTCGTTTTCTGATCGTATGGTATGAATTGCGCTACCTGATTAGCCTTCGTTTTCGAAACGTTAGCTTTTCGTCGAAGAATGGCAGTTTTCGACGTAGTTTGCTTTCTGGATACTTTCTTTACTACAACTGAGTCATCGCATTTAATCACGTTTGACGGAACGGTCTTCTTCGCTACACAAGAATCTTTACAAGCCTTCATGGACCCTCTGAACGGAATATTTCCCTTTGCCGCTCTACCATTTGTCCGTCGAGAAGTCTGTATTCTAAAGTTCGAATCATCAACATCTCCTCGCGTCTTCTTAACTAAAGCCTTAATGGCTGTCTGACGGAAACAGTTGTCTTTCGCCAAAATTTTCGATTTTTTTTCCACACGACCTGGTTGCCTGATGCAAAATACATTATCTACTGCATTAACGCTTTCCCTAGTATTCCTTCCAGTAGGATTTCTTTTCACTTTAGACGACGCTGATCTTGTAACAACCATCGTTATGGTTGCAGTGCAGTATTCACATTAAATATAGTTCGATGGTCTGAAAATATGAAAATTAAATTAACCTGTTAACTTAAATGATCACTGTCATATCTCGTATTCGCGTTCAGAATTTATCGATAAGACTTTTAAGTACTGCATAAGACCATAACAATTACTACCAACTGTCACGCAAACGTCAAACTGACACCGAAAAGATTTTCGAATCATATCTCAAGTTGCGCCGCCACTGAAGTTGTAACCGTTTATGCAATTATACAACTCAATGTCAAGCCAAATCAAATTTTAAAGGCAATGACACCAGCACGTATCAGAATATTAAATGTTTGCAGATACTAGAGAAAGCTAAAACAGTATTAAATGGAGGCTAAGCTTCAAAAGAGTAGAATGTTATTCACCACGGCCTTCGAATGCCTAGCACAGTGTTTCTTCATCAACGTGCCAATAAAATATTAAAATGCATTACTGGGCGATGTATCTGTACATGACTACTACATTCATCCAAGATTTTCACTTAAGTTTTCAAGATTTTCTACCCAAGTTTGATAATGAAAATGAAGGTCTACTGTCTCTACATGCAAAAATGATACGGATAAGCTATGAAAATGTACAGCGATAGAACAGTCAGTTGTAACGAACTTCAATTTTCATCTAACACAGCGCATGGTTCATTTAATATGAAATTAGCGTTCCGTGAAAACATTATACACTTCTCAGCATCACGTGCTTGGAACATAAATGATGATTCGAAACGTGAGGTGGTTAAACGTAACTATAAAAACCGGACACAAAGATCTGTGCAATAACTTCGTGATAATTATAAACGATGCCACTAACTTGTGATCAAAAAATCATCACACAGGGCAATGTAGCACCGGAAAGCCACCTGCATATATTTGCCAAGTGCATCTCTGATCCTTACAAGATAGCATCACAGCAGTCGGCCACTGTGCATTGACATGGCTTCCTTACCGTTTAAGCGTTTGCCATCCGTTAATTATACTAGCTAAATATGATATAGAAGCACTATAAAGCCAGAAAGCACAAGCGTCAAAAAATCTATGACTGTAGGTTTCGCAGGTTTCAGAATGACCCTAACAGAACGTCACCATACTGCGCCAGCAGTTGGCAGGCAATCTACATGCTACCCGCTCCTGTGTTCGTTGGACGCAGCACATCGGAGCAAATATCTTACCCACATGATTTGGCAGTTAACTACAAGAATTCACGCTTCAGTCGAACTGAAACCATACTGAAAGTCGAAAATCACATCGCAAACTAATCATCACCTATCTAATTTTTTTCTCAACAGAAAATGATTTAAAATATTATTTGAAATAACAATTAAAGTATATGTATAGGTGTCATAACCATTTAGGCTCTATAGCAAAAACTGTAGGACTTAAAATTATGTCTGCGAGAAGACAAGCAGATTATTATGCACGTAGCCACTCTTAAGTGACTAGAGATGTGCCTCAAGGATAGCGCAAAGCATTATGGCACTGAATAAACCAACCAAGTGCACTAAAAGTTAAAAATACCTTTAAATATCCCATCTACATAATAAAATTAGCTAAAAAAGCAAAAACTTCTATGCAATCAAGATAAAAAAGGAAATTAACATATACCGACTCATTTCAAGACATACGAAAAGACAAACAGACGAAGTTTGACACTCCCGCAATGCATTAATACGCTACTGTAAGATTTGCAAGTAACATTAACAATAATGTATTGCAAACTTAAACTGGTGTACTTTCAAATCGGAAACAATATATGATTTAATATGTGAAGTCACAGTACAGTTGGTAAGAATGATCTGCACACTGGAATTTTATCACTTACTTAGCACATGCATTAGACTGAATTTTTCGCGAAAATTTGCCAAAGCTTCTGTCGTTCCGTGCAATCACACGAAAGGCACAGCAACTGAATAATTTACCGGCATCTACTTGCAAACTAATTGCTAACATGGCTTCACCAATGCGGGGGCCAGATTACATCATCCATCTGTTTAGAACAGTGGTTCCGCTACGCACGCGCAATCATTATCACTAGATCAGTGGATAAAAAGGAAGGAAAAGAAAGTTTGTAATATTTGGAATGCTGGTCTTCCTTAAACTTACATGATGAAAAAAATTCTAGTACCGTTGTTTTCCTGAAATTTGAGTAGAAACGCCAAGTCATTTCAGTGACATCATCCAGGAGTGCTTTATTTTTTTGAGCAAGTAAGCATGTTTATGATTAAGGAATTTACACGTTACCTCAGACCGAGCTTACTCGGAAGAACCATGAAATCCTAAATAGCTTTGGTCGAGATGAGTAACCTTTTCCTCCTTCCGAAACTGATAAATGAGTACCTCTCTTATGAAAGAGTGTGATGGAAACAAGAAAATACTGGTTGTGCTTGCCACATAGCTGTAGATTCTGTTTTACTAGATCGGGTATTGGGTGAAAGGCCGATACAAACATTTGTGTATATGTTACTCGGACATTTCTCAAGGCAGTGAACATTATATTTTAAAGCTCTGCAGAGAACTCCGCCATGGCCGGTCCCAAGCCCGGATGAAAATGGAGGAGGGTTGGAGAACGTGGCAAGTCTCCGTAAAATTCAGCCACCTGCCACTCATGGTATTGACGCCT